TCACGGCACATCCCATCCACCGTGCTTGTCCTGCTTGCGCTTGCCTGGCAGAGGGGAGAAGGTGGGTCTCGGGCAGCGGTGCCTGGGGGGACCCGCGTGCCAGGCTCGAAGCGCCTATTTTATTTTCTTCCTTCCAATAAGCTGAAAAGCCACAAATCTTTCCCACGTGAGAGGTGTTAAGCTGGGCTGACAGCGGGGAGAGGGTACAGGAGTCATTTTCATGGGACTGCAGTGCCCGCGGAAGCTCGCGCTGCCATCTAACCCTCCAAACCCCACAGCCAAAATGAATGGGGAAAAAAAGAGAAAAAGAAAAAAAAAAAAGGTGTCTGGGAATGGGAAATAATAGCTGTTACTGCACATTACCTCCTGACCCAAATTAACAGGGAGATGCTTACCCTCAAACACAGAGCAAGAAGCCGCGAGCCATGAGTTCAGAGAGGGCTCCTCGCCCAAACAGCCTACGCCCGGCTGAAGAAGGCCTCTCACGTCACGGGCTTCAGCCTTTCCACGTCGAATATTCGCCTGGTTTCACCATCCTCTGGCACGGAGAGTCCCAGGACACCGTGCATGTGCAGCGTGGCATTTCTCCCCCTCCCAGCCAGGGCCTCTCGCCAGCCGCTGTGGTGCTACCAGCGGAGCCCTGACAGTCTGACACAAAGCCAGTGGCCTGACAATAGCGCCAGGAAAATCGGGTCCGGGGGCATGTCACCCTCCATCACGTTTTCTAGCTCAGCACCACATCTGCCAGGCACGGCTGAGGCACCGCCGATGCTGCTGGGAGGCAGGAAGACAGAGCAAACATCCCAAATCCTTCCCACCAGGTTTTCCATGATCCTATAGAAAGCATCTAAACAGGACAGCTTGAAACATTCAGGCATGAACTTTTGCAAGCAGTGAGGGTTTTTTAATGACAGGCTCGTGGAGAGATAAATCATTTTGGTGTTTCTCTCCAAACTGCAAGCGCGGGCAAGCACTTCCCTGGGGGAGTAAGGACGCCAGTTTTCCGGGCGGGACGCTCCAGTGTTTAGCAAAGTGCAGACACTCACCCACGCCTTGCCTAACCCATGCTTTGCCTGAAACAACGTGGACTCTGTAGGGCACAAGCCAAGGGCATTAATCGTTTTTTTTCTCCCCCACCCTTTGCCTATGCCAGCAAGGACTCTGTAGGGCACAGGCCAGGGCATTAATAATTTTTTTCTCCCTCACAGCTGCCTGGATTCAGGAAACACGCAGGAGCTGCGTATTTTCGGGAACCTTCTCTGCT